GAACATCACTTTGTATCGCCATTAAAAGGTCGTGGTTTGGCTATTCTAGCGGTGTTTGGTAATGACGCTATTAAGAGGCTGTTAAGGAGGCTGTTAATAAGGCCGTTAACGAAGCTGTTGTATATATTGATTCGCCGTTGTTGGTTTTCGATTCCTCTGGTATCAGTACCATTTCTGTCTGTGGAATAATGCAAGTAACAACAGATTAACTCTTTAAGTTTGCTTCAATAAAGAGCCATGAGAACGTTCCAGAGATGGAATTCTAAATCTGTTTTGAAGTTTCTCTTGGTTTTGATTAAGAGTCGTAAATACCATGACGAGATTCACGAGACTCTGAAATAGCCAGCAGGACGTTGGTTCTAATTTGCGGTGACGTCATGGTGCTTGTGCTAATCAGATTACAAATCTGTCCTTACTGCACAATTTTTGGGTGTTCGTGGTGTATGAGCCGCTTAGCATTTGACAAAATAATTTAATGCGGTAAACCAGATCACCAACCATATATAGCTTGGTTAAAAAAGTTAAAATAGTCAATATTACAAAACGAGGCTTCTCCTTATAAGTATCGTGCGAAATTCAATCAAAGAACGGGTGATGCGAACTAGAGCATGGCGGCAAATCCATGTTCTGTTCGCCTCTATCGGTCAAATTCGCGGACCATCACTCGATCCGAGCCAAATCTGATTCGCCGTGTCAAACGAATGATTTCATAAACCACGAAAATTCATCGTTTTTCAAAGCTGACATCGCAGAAGTTTATATTTTTGATCTGTCAGATACAAATGGAGGGTTAGTGGATTCATCGTGGTCATCATGGTTTCAATCTTCGAGAAAGAAAGACACAATTATTGTTGCTACTCTGCTCGGAATAGTTTAAAGAGCGTTACAAAGAAAGATCCTGGATGCCGGTGAAATACAGAATTTCAAGCGATCAAACCTAGAGATATATTTCGGTGGAGACAAGCGACAGCTGGAAACACGTCTCCGTTTGCAGGCTAAGTGATACGCGGCCTTTTGTGAGACGCGCTAGAGCAAAATTGCCAACCAGAAAAAAATGGGTCGCACTTAGTAAAATGAATCTCATTTGGAAAATAGGCCACATTTGTAAAAAAGGGTCAAACTTGTAGAAAATGGTCACACTTGTAAAAAATGGTCACACTTGAAAAAGCGGGGTCACGCTTTGAAAAAATAGTCAAACTTGGAAAAATGGGTCACGCTTTGAAAAAAGGGTCGCACTTGGAAAAATAGGTCATACTTGGAAAAGAGTCAAACTTGGAAAAATGGGTCAAACTTGGAAAACGAGGTCGCACTTGGAAAAATGGGTCACACTTCGAAAAATGGGTCAAACGTAAAAAAGAGTCGCACTTTGAAAACTGGGTCAAATTAAACGAGGGACACACTTGGAAAAAAGGGTCACACTTGGAAGAATGGGCAGAACTTGAAAAAAGTTTCAAACCTGGAAAACTGGGTCACACTTGGAAAAATGGTTCACAATGGGTTACACTTGGAAAGAGTAATGCGTAGCACTTGACAAAAACGTTCATACTTGATAAACTGGGTCACATTTAGAAAACTGGGTCACAGTTTAAAAAAATGGCTCAAACCTGAAAAAATGGGTCACACTTGGAAAAATGGGCGACATTTGAAAAAATGGGTCACACTTGAAAATATAGGTCACCCTTTATAATATGGGCCACACCTGAAAACACGGGTCGCACTTGAAAAAATGGGTCACACTTAAGAAACTGGGTCTCATTTAAAAAATATTGGTCACACTTAAGATGGGTCACGCTTGAAAAATGGGACACCCTTGGAAAAACGGGTCACATTTGGAAATATGAGTCACACTTCGAAATATAGCTCACACTTGGTAAAAGTCCTCAGATGGTAAAACAATTGTCATCGATTTCCGCATGATGAT